GGGGGTACAAAGGCAGCCAGGCTGATCCCCAGGGGTACAGAAGGACAGAAAGACAGCCAGGCTGATCCCTGGGGTACAGAAGGACAGAAGGACAGCCAGGCTGATCGCCTGCAGCACAGGAGACGCTGGGACAAGGACAGAAGATGAAGGGGGTGGACTCTCAGCAGGGGTGAATTCAAGGTTTATTTCAGGACCCCCACAAACCTCAGGGGGCTCCTGCTGAGAGCCAGGGAGATGTGCCAAGGTTACATTGAAAGGGAGGTGGAAATTTAAAATAGAGAACATTTACTGACCAATGAGTGACCTGAGGGATGGGTACTGGGAATGGACATTTAGGACAGGATTTGGGGTAACACTTGTGGGGCTGACCCCTGGCCTCTGGCTGATCACTTGACATCCTGGATGGAAAGTTCTGGATGGAGGGGATGGGATGGTGAGTGACTGACAGAGAGCCAGGGTGGGGATTTGGGGATGATCCCAGAAAAGAAGAGGGATTGCACAGGAAAAAAGGACCGGGAAGAGTTCCCATAAACCATACGGGAAAAATACCGGGATACAAAAACAAAACTGTTACAAACTATTACAAAGTATAAAAATACACTGCAACAGAAAGGGAGCAGAGCCCCAAAACCCCACCAAGATCTGTGTCTGGGGCAGCAGGGGCTGCCTGGCCTCACCTGCCTGGTCCTGCTCGCCGTACCACGTGTTCCAGTTGCCCACCAGGTCACAGGGGTAGTCGGGGTCCGAATGCAGCTTGGGCAGCACCTCCTCTCTGTGGGGCACAGAGGGGCCAGTGGGGTGGGGGCAGCACCCCAAACCCTCCCAGTGCCCCTCTGTGCCCTCCCAAACCCCACAGTGCCCCTCTGTGCCCTCCCAAACCCTCCCAGTGCCCCTCTGTGCCCTCCCAGTGCCCTCAGTGCCCTCCCAAACAGGACCTGGCACAGCCTGGGGGATGCATCCATTCCCCAGGGAGGGAAACTGAGGCACAGAGCAGGGGACACACATCCACCCAGGAGCTCCAGGAGCCCTCCCACCCCTGCCAGTCCAGAACAGCATCCCAAAACCCCGTTTGGAGACTGAGAAGGCCTCTCAGTGTGCTCACGTCAGCTTGTTGTAGGCTTCGAGGCACTCCGGCTTCACGTTGTGAACTGCAGGGACAGGAGAGAGGGCTGGGAACGGGCAGGGAGCCGGGAATGGGGGTCCCAGGGGTGGGTGAGGGGGGCACCCATCTGTGCCTGCCCTCCTCCCAAGAGCAGCAGCACTCACACTGGATCTTGTAGAGGTTGCTGGTCTCCTTCTTGGACAGGAGGTTGGAATGTGCGTCCTTGCGGGGATCCACCTTGTGCACGAACAGCGAGCGGAACCAGCTGCCCTCCACATCCCGGGAGTACCCCCTGAGGGACACCGGCAATCACCGGGAATGGCCGGCAATCACCGGCAAGCAGGATCCCGAGGCCTCACTGCCAGTCCTGCCTCTATTTTTCGGCCTCCCGGGAGCCCTGGGGCTCCTGCTCAGTTCGTCCTGGGAGCCCTGTCCCAGGCTGGGCTGGGTCTGTCCTCAGTTCCAGTCTGTGCCCTGCATCCACAGGGGGTGGCCGTGCTGCCCAGCAGAGCGGGGGGTGTGGGACAAGGGGGGCACCCCCNTTTTTTTTGTTGTTTGTACTATTGCATTTATATTTTTAATTTTCTTAGTAGAGAACTGCTATTCTTATTCCCATCTCTTTGCCTGAGAACCTCTTAAATTCAAAATTATAATAATTTGTAGGGAGGGGGTTTGCATTTTCCATTTCAAGGGAGGCTCCTGCCTTCCTGTCTGTTCAAACCAAGACACAGCCTCCCAACAAACCCCACGACCTGGCTGAGGTGTAACTCCTCACCACACACACAGAGCAGGCAGGACCTGCCCCATCTCTGCCCCACCTAATCCCTGCATTCCTCCCTCCCAGCCCCTCCTGGCACCTCGTGGGTCTGGTCCCTGCCCTTCTTGAGGCGGATGTGGGCCAGGCGGTTCAGCTTCTTCAGGGTCATGAAGTGCACGCAGCTCTGCACGCGCCGCTCGTCGATCTCCGAGGCCTGAGGGCAGGAGACGGGGTGGAAGCAGGAGGGATGGCTGGCACCTCCTCTGCAGGGAGTTCCTGCCACAAAACAGGCTCCATGCTTTGCTGTGGAGCCACATTTATGTCCCTGGGGCTGCTGAGGGAGCCTCCTGCTGCCAGACCTCAGGGCTGTGCTGGGAGCAACTGAGAGGGTCCAGGCTCCTCAGAGAATCACTGCAGCCATTTGCCTCAGCAGCAGGAACAGGGGTGGCTCAGCCTGAGGCACCTGATGTGTCCCAGGAGCCTGGGACAAGGGAGGCTATTCCATTTCCAGAGCCCAATCCCTGCCCCAGAAGCCTGGGAAAGGGAGGCTCTGTTCCATTTCCAAAGCTAAACCCCTGCCTTAGCAGCCTTGGTTGGACAAGGAAGGCTGCTCCGTTTCCAGGGGCTCAATTCCTGCCCCAGCAGCCTGGGCAAGGGAGGTTATTTCATTTCCAGAGTTAAATCCCTGCCCCAGGAGCCCAAGACAAGGGAAACATTTCCAGAGCTCAATTCCTACCCTAACAGCCTTGGACAAGGAAGGCTGTTCCATTTCCAGGGGCTCAATTCCTGTCCCAGCAACCTGGGAAAAGGAGGCTGTTCCATTTCCAGAGCTCAATTCCTTGTCCAGCAGCCCAGAAAAGGGAGGTTATTCCATTTCCAGAGTTAAATCCCTGCCCCAGGAGCCCAAGACAAGGGAAAGTGTTCCACTTCCAGAGCTCAATTCCNGGAATTGTTCCCTGGCAGGGTGGGCAGGCCCTGGCACAGCTGTGGCTGCCCCTGGATCCCTGGCAGTGCCCATGCCAGGCTGGACATTGGGGCTGGGAGCACCTGGGACATGGGAGGTGTCCCTGTCCATGACAGGGGTGGCACTGGCTTCAATGTCCCTTCTAACCCAAACTATTCCATGATTACAAACACCTGGAGCACCCACTGTGCTCCCACAGCGAATGTGGGAAGAGCTCCCAAACTCAGGAATCCCCCACCCATCCCAGACACACCAGTGCTCTCCTCTCCCTGGCCATGCTCACTTGAATTCCAGGCACTTGGTGATCTCTTTCTGCAGGTGCATCACCTCATAGAGCAGGTTCTGGAGCTGCAGGTGATAGGCATCAACCTTCTGCTTTGCCTGAAACACAGACACAGCCAGAGCAGGGATGGAGCAGGAAAAACAGTCACCAAGAGAGAGTCACCAAGACCCCGTCACTACAGCAGCTTGGGACAGCAGGTTTTGGGGTATGCAACAGTTTTTTGGGGGAAGAATGACATTTTTAAGGGCTGGAGGAGCAAAGGATTGTGACAGGAGACTGATCCTGCTCCTTCCTGCACATCTCAAAGCCAAGACACAGGACAGGGCTCATTTGCTGGGGCACACAGTCCCCTCTCTGAGAACTCTGGGTATGGAGCTTCCAGGCCAATCACCCACCCCTTGATACACTTGCACAACACCAGACCCTTGAAACAGAGTTTCTGACTCCTGCTACACTTGAGAGAAAACCAGATACTGCTCCTTCATTATTGATTTATTATAGCTGCCCTGCACCCAGCAGGAGTTTATCAGGATCAGAGCCTGTCTCAGGTTGAAAGATTTAGCTGGGGGTGTGTGTTCTGTCCCCATCTGTCAGAGCTGGGGCAGTTCTCTGCTGTTCATGGGCAGTTTTTTCTTTATCTCTCCCACAGCCAACCCTC